AAGGTTAACTCTCATATTTTTTATCTTTTATTTCATTTTTGGCAAGGTATAAGGAGTCCGATGTGTTCATCCTCTAAGAATTAAACTATTATGCTCGTTGTGTGATGTAAATTGACCAAATTGAGAAATTTTTAACACTCAATGTCAAAAAGCACCTATTGTCAATTGTTTGAAACGGAAGAGACAGGAAGAGAGAAAAAGTAGTTATTTCCTAAGATTTCGAGAAGGACTTGTTTACTTTATTCTTCAAGTCTTGCATCAAAATTTAGTTTTAAAACAATATTGTTGATATTACATTCAATAAAAAAAAAATCGAGGATTAAATCAATATATAAAGCACTGCTAAACTGCTCCAATAAAATTAAGTAGTCCATACATTATTTTCATGGAATGCAATTTTAAATCATGCAAAATAGTAATTCCGATATCCATATTCAGTTTAATATTTTTAAGAAAGGGACTTTAAGAGGTGAATAACAAGAAATTACTTTTTGTAGTAGTAGGTAGGCAGTCGTGATAGTTTTCTTTTGTTTAAACTGGAAAAACTCCCATCTTCATGACTTTATTCCATTATTTCCATTTTGAGAAACACATTCAAATATCCATCTTGTTTACATACTTACATATTGTATTATACCCCGAAGCATCTAAGACCTACTTTATTTATTATGCATCAACAAAAGAATTTCTCTTCATCTTAGAAAATAATATTGCTTGCAGGTAGGTTAAGGTTACAACCAAATATTCTACTTGCCAATATGATATGACGTCATAGTAAGCTATACGACTTGAAGTTTAGAGATACTAATTTCATAAAAATCGATATCTAAGATTGATTTGAGGTCGTAAAAATGAATTAAAATATGCATAGGCATAATTTTAACGGAAATATGTCGTTACTGGGCCTCTGTAATTGTCACAGGGGTTAAATACCAAACCCGTGACGTCATAACTGTTGATCATGCAGTAGCAGAGTGAAAGTCCAAAAGTGTTTAATAATTTTTTTGTGTGATAGGACAGTAGGATTCTAGCAGCACTTTTCTTGGTACAGAGATATTTTTACATAATATTATTACAAATTAAAACTTATTATCCCCGGGGTAGTGTTGAACTTCTCACTTTTTCATTAAGGCATATTATCTAATTATAGATATCACGTGGTGACGTCATGGTGAAGTGCTTACTGTAGTATAAGTTCCATTGCAGTCTATAGAATGCATAATTATTGCAAAAGTTTTATCCTTGACTTTTCCAATTTATTGATGTTACATGATTATAAAAAAGTGTTAAATCGACGAATTCTGATCCATGTGCTGCCTTATCATACCCGCGCATTTGCCATTCTAGCCTTTTTTTTGAAAAATGCCGGTACATACATGCAGTCTATTCATTGTATAGTTTCTGAGAATTAGGAAAAATTATTGTTTGAATAAACGAGTTCATGGAAAACCCGTTATTAAGCGTTTGTAAGTCATCAGGTAAAATATTTAATGCTAGTGGTTCAATAACTTGTTGTAGAAGAAATATGGATCGGAATGTGACATTCCGATCAGTGTCAGCCTGTCCCAAAGACGCTCTCACTTGGCTGAGCAACGGCATCAAGTTACAGTGCCCGAATGATACCTATGGTAGGAACCTGTATCAGTGTGTACCTAATGATGACAGATCCTCACTGGTGGAATTTTGTTCTAAATCGAGTATTGCCAGATTTGAAGCAAGTGAGTCAAAGATATTTGTAAAAAAAAAATAACATAAATTCGACTTAACTTTTTTCCCTTTTAATCTATCAGATATCAGAGTGTATAATTGTATTGTACACTACTTGTTTTAAAAAGTATTTGTTTATATGTAAAATCCCTGTCTTTTTCAGTAACCTACAGCATTTTCACTCATACATACTATAAATCTACATTATTCTACTGTATATCTCCTCGGTACATATCGTAGTTCTCAGTAAACTGATGTATATATCCCAAACATGGTAAAAACAACAATAGTAGGCTTAAGTTTGACTACTGTTACGCATGGTAATCTATAGTATAGTGCAGCATTTTCCCTAACAATTCCCTGTATTATTCATCGAGTAGGAAAGGAAGAAATACAGTATTTTGTGAATCTTTTTAGTAATTGTTTAAGTTATTTATTGCAAACAAGTATAAAGATCACGATGATGTTTATTAGATTTTTTTTTCATTTTTACTTACAAATGCAATGAAATTAAGGCAGTGTAAAGGAAAAATGACATTATATAAATGGTGCCTGTTTTGGAGGATTACAGTTGAAATTAACATCCCAAGGAAAATCATTGTCAACCGACGCGTCAGCGTTTATTTATTTAATTATACTGAATGTCATTTTTGATTAATAGTTGTCTGCAAAAAAATCGTCGATTGTCTTTACGTTCACGTTTATAAAAAGCTTTCTAACTCCCCGCTACTTAGAAGAAAGATTGACTAACCTCTTTATTGTTTTTTTGATACTCTTAGAGTCCTTTATCATCTAAAGTTTCGTTATCTAGCACTCGCAAGCATGTTTCGTCTGAAGTTTGTTGTTTTTAAGTAAGCTACATCATACGCAAGCTTTTATTTACATCAAAATTTTTCCGGTTTTTTCAAACGCGCAACTGACGTATTGAGAATTCTACAGTGAACCGTACACGCGTAATTTCCACGCATGTGGCATTACCGTTGTGATACCCGTTGCTACGTGTGTTGCTAAGGCTGAGGGTAATAGAACGGATTGTTAACTGCGTTTAAACCAATCAGATTTTAGTATTTAACATGAACGTATAATAATAAAAAATATAACTAACAACATTTAGTTAAAGAGTTCTCATTCAAGACTGCATGAATGACTCAAGATGTGAATGGACTTATGGCACTTTAATTTTTTTCCCTATTTCTTTAGATTTCTGCCCTTATGCTGTATCTTCCGGTTACTTAGACGCCATCAACTGCTCCACTTTTCTCAAAGGTTGTCCGAGAGAACCTTACCTAAACAATGAAGTTTACAAATGTAAGAACCTCTCTTTTTCGGATGGAATAGAAACCTAAGTGATGAAGGGCTGTAAGTAAAAAAAAAATTAATAGAAATAATGTGGGTCTTGATTGTTTTAGATCCAGCTTGCTTGGAAATAAATCCACAACAACGCTGCTATTTGTCAATTGAAAACTGTTTAAACAAAACGTAAGTGAATCGGTGTAATCAGTTTCATCTTCTCATTTATATTTCGACGCATTGAATCAAATTGTTATGTAATTGAATGATTTTTTTAGGAGTAAGGAAGTACCAAAATCCACAACTTATATTCAACTAACTGACTTCTCATCATATAGCCTGTCCACAGACAGCTTTAATCCGACCTCGGTGTCACCAGACAGTACTTCTAATTTGCAGCCGGGGATTGAGACCGTACCTATAATTGCTGGAGTAGTCTCACCATTGATCGTACTAGTGGTTATTTTCGTGATTATCTTCTCTTTTTATTTGAAAAAAAGCCCAAGTGAGTTCATTTTATGTATACATATACATTATTTACATCGTACTTTGGCTGTATCATTACAAATACTACATATAGTAGTCTGTATAGCTATATTATATGCAAAGTAAATTTAAAACAAGAGACATTTCTGCCAAACGTGAATCTCAAAAAAGATCAGACTACACGTTCCTAAAAATATAAACTTTCCCGAAAGTTTGTCATTGACGTGTATATATTTAAACAAGTTTCCTCACATAAAAAAGAATACCTTACCAGGTCTTTCAACAAGAAATCGTAGGGTCATATTCCTTGTATAACACTTTTGGGAATTTTCTAAATGACCTATATCACGATTTTAGGGGTACTTTTATCTTAAAACATGTAAAACATGTAAAAGGTATAATGTAGAAATCGGAAGAGAATAACAAATATGAATATTTTTTATATAATACCAAAAGATACAAAACACACATTTAAGGAACATGTCGTCTGACCTTAAGTGTGATGCCTTTTTTAGACATATTTTTGAACATTTCTAAAAAGAATAGAATCAGAAAAACATGCGTAAAAACATAAAGTGCTTTGAAAACAATTTGAACATTTTGAGAAGTTCTATTATTGTTTACGTCAGATCAACATCCTAACAGTAGATTGTATTATCCTGGGACTTTTCTAATCCCTCTTTACACAAATTGTGTATGATAAAGAATTGCTGGACACAGATCTAATGATGCCCAGAAGTTAGAGGAGGAATATAAGGCTTTCTGATAAAAAAGGATCTTCATTAAAACGGTGATATATGCATAAAATTTCCACTCGCTCCTCCCATTTCTATACATTATTATTGATAATAAATTGAGAGAAACAAAAAAATAAAGTGATTTTTTTTATTTTCACTTCATGCATCTAAGCATGATTTAGGATGTTCATTATCGTCCTGAAAACAAACTTACAAAGAGACATTACATGTACGTTATATCTCGCCCATGTGGTTTTACAATAACATCGATGAAAAACAGAACTTTTGCATGCAAAAATTCTCACATTATAAAATAAAAACATTGAGCAAGAATGTTCCCTTTTCTGTGCTCCGCCCAGCCCCCTAACCCCTCCCTCTCCGAATTGTTTTATTTCATAGGAAACGAAACTTTGACATTTCGCCGTGTTCTGAATTTATTGGAGCAAAATTCCTTTGACAACGAAAGAAATTTAGCTTTCCTGATCACATTTTGTCTATAGTATGTATGTCCGTCTTTCTGTCTGTCTAGCTGTCCGTTTGTATTTTTTTTTTACATTTTCGACTTCTTCTCCAGAACCACTCAGCCAATGTCAATCAAACTTGCCACAAAGCATCCTTGGGTGATTGGGATTGAAGCTTTTTAAATTGAATGGCCACCTTTCAAGTGGTGAAAATTGAGAATTAATGAAAATTTGGTGTCATATTTTAAAAATCAGCTTCTCGAGAATCACTGTGCAATGAAAGAAGAAACTAGGAATCATCCTTAGGTAATGAAGATTTAAGCTTGTTCGAATCATTGACCCTCATGGGTAAGGGTGGGCCATAATGGATCATCAACTTTGTACACAACCATTTCCTACGATAAATTAAAGTCCAGGCTTTTTGATATCATTGACAACTGCTTTTTTAATAAAAATGGAACTCGTTAATTAACTTATCGGGTCATTGGTCATTTGCAAAATTTTTTTGTTAAAACACATTCTGATTGCACACACAATTTCTCTGAAGTTGACATCAAAGAGATGCTTGAGTTTCTAATTGGCAATACCTATGTGGTTTTTGGAGACCAGGTATTCCAACAATCTATTGGAATTCCCATGGGTACCAATTGCGCTCCGTTATCAGCAGACTTATTATCATATTCTGTGAAGCAGAATTTTTGCAAAATATGCGTGAAAAGAAGAAAACACTTGTTTTGTTTTTAACTAGACTTTTAGATATATCGACAACGTATTGTCAATAAACAATGGTAATTTTCATTCCTACATCGATACGATATATTCTTATGAGCTTGAGATAAAAAAAAATACCACATATTCTGAGACATCTGTTTCATACTTGGATATTTCAATTGAAAAAGACGTTAATGGTAAACGAACAACCAAGCTATAAGATAAACGTGATGACTTTGACTTTTCTATGGTCAACTTCCCTTACTTATGCAACAATATACCTTCATCACCTGCATACGGAGTATATATATGTCAGTTGATTCGATACGCAGGAGCATGTTCTATGTATGTGCAATTTCTAAAACGAGGTAAATTATTGACAAGCAAGTTGATTAAACAAGAATATTAGCAGACTCGTTTAAACCATATTTCGTAAGTTTTACTGTCGATACAATGACCTTGTCAGCAAATACAATTTATCATTTAGTCAAACGTTGACTGACGTTTTTCATACTTATTGTTAGTCCATTATTTATACACTGAATTGACAACGTATTTTTAGCTCACCTGATGTCCGTCTCAGTCCGTCTGTCCGTCCTTCCGTCTGTAAACCTTTGACATTTTCAACTTCTTCTCAAGAACCATAGGGCAAATTTTAACCAAACTTAGTAAAAGGCATCCTTGGATAAAGGGAAGTTTCAATTTTTAAAATGAGGGGCCAAGTCTTTGTACAAGGCGAGATAATCATGAAAAGACAAAAATAGGGCGGGGTCATTAAAAAATATTTTTCTCAAGAACCACTGGGCCAGAAAATCTGAAACTTATGTGAAAGCATCCTAGGATAGTGTAGATTCTAAATTGTTAAAATCATGACCCCTCGGGGAATGACGGGGCCACAAATGGAAATCAAAGTTTTACATAGAAATATATAGGAAAAATCTTTGAAAATCTTCTTCTCAAGAAGCACCGGGCCAGAAAAGCTGAAACTTATGTGGAAGCATCCTGGTATAGTGTAGATTCTAAATTGTTCAAATAATGACCCCCGGGGGAAAGGGGGCGGGTGTCACAATTGTGAATTAAAGTTTTACATAGAAATATATAGGAAAAATCTTTGAAAATCTTCTTCTTTAGAACCACTGGGCCAAAAAGCTGAAACTTATGTGCACATGGAAGGATCTTGGGTTAGTGTAGATTTCAAAATGTCTAAAATATGATCAGTGGGGTAGGGTGGGGATGTATTATGTATTACAAGGGGAAATCTGGTAAAGAACAAAATGGTCAAAGCTTCTCATGTGAGCGATGTGGCCCATGGGCTTCTTGTTCCGACATGCACTGATCATGTCAAGGAGCACACGGCGGATGTGACCAGTCCGCAGTCGATGATCACTCCTCCATGGCACCTGATCCCATCTCTGATGGTTAGGAGGTCCGTGTTTGCTCTGCTCCTATTTTGTATTGTTTTTTTTTTTTTGGACTTTGATATTGAAACCTTTTCGTTATCCTTCTTACATATAAATACCTAGAAATACAGTGCATATAGCCTTGATTGGTCATATTTATATGTGAGCATCCTCAGGTAGTGAAGATTCAAGTTTGTTCAAATATTGACCCCCGCACCAGGGGTAGGTTGCAGCCACAATTGATGATCAAAATATACATAGCTATTTAAAGAAAAAAAAATTTAAAAAATCTTTTTCTCAAGAACATCAAAGCCATGATTAATTATATTTACAGGAATTGTAGATTCAATTTTGTTCGAACTATGATCCCCGGGAATAAGGTGCAGCCACAATGGATGATCAAAGTTTTGCATAAAGATACATGCCTATAGGAAAAATCTTTTAAAACTTCTTCTAATGGACATCAAAACTGTGATTGATCATATTTATATGAAATAATCATCTCGTAGTGTAGATTGAAGTTTGTTCAAATCATAAACCCCTGTATAGATTGGGCCACGATGACTATCAAAATTTTACATAGAAATATAAAGCAAAAGTTTTTAAATATCTTCTTCTCAAGAACAGCAAAGCCATAATTGGTCATATTTATACGAAAACATTCTCAGGAAGTGTAGATTCAAGTTTGTTCGGATAATGACCCCCGGGGGCTAGGGCTAACCGCGAGGGACAATAAAAATTTTACAGTGTAATATAAAGGTAAGAAATATATAAGAAAAATCACCGACAATTCAAAGCCATGATTAATTATTTTTACGTTGAAGCATCCTCAGGTAGGGTAAATTTAATATGCTCCAATCATCACGGTCGGGGGGAAGGGTCACAGCTTTAAAGAGTAAAAAAGCCATAGTTAGTCAAAGAAATATGCAGACACCTTTGTTAATGTAAATCCAAGCATTCAACTTTGTTCAAATCATACATGTAGAACCCTCCCTTAGCCACAGTGCTCAGGTTAGCGATGTGGGCCATGGGCCTATTGTTTATCTCATGTTCTCGGATAAGTGGTAATTTACCATCCATAAAATGTATTTAGTTTTTTTTAGCTTAATGAAAATTAAAATTTTTAATTCATCTGTAATCAAAATGCATTTAGATACAAAAATTCAGATCAATATCTGCAAGCATGTAGGAAAAAAATAGTATAACAATTTTTATACTATGGGTCAAAAGTTTATTACAGGAACAAGTGCCTGTGAGAAACTGTTAAAAATTTAAAAAGGCGTATTTTTTATGAATCAATGAAATGGAACGAGATTCAAAGAATGATTGCACTTAAGGACGTTATTTGGAACCTTTTCGGCTACCTATTTAAAGGTATACTTAGACACAGATTTGAAGTTAATATTTTCTCATTTTTTCTGTATAATATCACGAATTATATATTTTAATAGCATTTCACACAAAAATTGATTAAAAATCTTATTTCATTTAAAAGTTATAAAAATTTTAAATTTTTTGGCGGGTTTGATTGACACTTCCTTGCACTTTAAAAAAAATTAACTTTATTTTTAATCCTTAAGAAAAGTGGCAATTTTGATGTGTTTTAATGAGAAATATTAAAACTTTTATCAAGAAAAATAATTTTATTCAGAGTAGAAATGTTAGAAAGCAAAACACCTTCACAAGTATCGTCATTCCAAACTAAGAGATGCGTACAGAGTTTAGCAAATCGAGCACACTCGTGTTATGTACACAGTTTTTGTAAACAGGGCTCGAGTTCTGTTATTGTTTATATTTAGTATTCACCGGGTGCGTTCAATCGTCACTGTCTGCTTACCACAACTGCACGGACTGACAATATATTGTGCGTTTGTTTTGCTTTTGAACGTGTCTACTCTGAATTTTCAGGACTATAGGATTAATATTTTTCATTTATACAAAACGTTACTGCCACATTTCCTAAGGATTAAGAATAAAATTAAATTTGTGAGAGTGCAAGGATATGTCAATCAAACCCGCCGAAAAATTTGAAATTTCTATATCTTTTAAACGAAATAAGA